GCATGATGCAACAGATCTGTCTCATCGGACGCTGTCTTCATAGGAAAATTACAACTGCTTGTTCAGGTCATCAGGTACGCTCAGTGTGCAAATGTTCCATGCATGCAGAGGTGTTGATCCTGATATCTTTGAAATTTGGCCTAGCCGATGCCGTCGCAAAAATTTGAAGTCCAATCTGCAGATGCAGATGCGGCGGCCTGTAAGAAGCCATGTCCTTGGAGAGAGACCTATAATCTGGCCCCCTTATTTTTTGCAGCCTCGTTCCTCTCTGGTAGTGGTATCGTCAAGTTCCCCTCCGGAGGCCTCCTCATCCACCACACCTTGAGAGACCAGGGGGAGGACGTCATCCTGGGCAAGGGGGACCTGGTCAACAGCGTGCCCATCCTGGGGATGTATCAGCACAGTCTGGAGTCGGGCCGCATCGCTCTGTATGGAGACTCCAACTGTCTGGACAGCAGTCACATGAAGACTGGTGAGTCTTGGAACCGTGACCATCCAGGCCTAGGTTTGATAGAAATGGCTCAAAATGCACGCAGTAAAAACTCTGCAGGTTTTAATGCAAGTTATTGCAAAGTACATGTTAATGATCCAGCAGCCATATTCCTGCTTGTTTAGCTCAGAAAACAGGCTGTGCTACATTAAGTAACAAAAAGCTGACATACTCTCTCGTAGAAGCATGGTTATTAGAAATGCTCATTTTATTTTTCAATATTGCCTCTACTTCCTATGCATGCCGAAATCTCAGAATGCTATTTGTGATATTATGCTTTGGTCTAAACTCTATTCCAGTGGATGGCAGATGTTTTGTACATGTAGATGTCAAAAATTTGTAAATCTCAACAATTGTAGGTTTGACCCAAAGTGCAAATTTTATGCTAAAATGTCCTCAAAGACACATTCCGTCCAATTTGGAAGCTCAACATCATGCCTTGTAACAAAGTTCCGGTATAAATATTGAAGGATATCATAAGCATTCTAATGATGTCTGATGTATACTTGTGTGTAGTCGTGTGTAGGAGGGTGGGTCCTCCTATAGTTTAACTGCACATATGTGCACGAATGCCCACAGTCGTGTGTGCGTGTGTGTTCTATGTTGAACACAAATATGCACAGGTTCAATGTGTATCCGGTTGGTAACTGCGACGTCACTTCAGTTTAAACCACGCCCACTGCACATGCTCTGCACATAGAGTTACATTTGTTGATCGCCGTTTACATGGAACCTGAACTTTACGTGGAACTTCAGCAATCGTCCAATGGCAGGCTGCAAATCGTGGTGCGTCCGCCTTTGTGACAAAGTCACTTACGAACCGGATACAGTTAGTTGCCAGCACAAAAGGACACAGGTTCTTTTGTGCAGTCCTCTTCACTGCAGTTGGNATATTCCTTTGAGGGATACTCGGCGCAGTACACAATATGACACAGCTGTGCATCTTTGCGCGGCTTACCGACTGACCCAAAGAGTGACTTCAGCATAGGAGGGTTTTAAAGTTGGCCAAAGCTGTGATTTTGATACATGCCTAAAAGTTGAGGAGACAGAACTGTTGCTACAAGGTTGGGCAGCTGGAGAGTATAAGCCAACCCTGGGTCATCCATACCAGCTGCGAGTCTGTTAAATTCAATCAGTGCAGGGCTGTTTCAACCAAACTCTATAAAAGGCATATCCCTAGTGCGAAATTCCACAAACCATGGACTTATTGAGGTGGTTAAATAATTATACACGTGTATGTGGCTCCTCTTTGCTCTTATGCATGTAGTAAGTTGTGCAGTCGTCCCAAATCTATTATAAAGGGCCTTGTGAAATTAATCTGAAGTGAAGAGGTATACTTTAAGCAAAGTCAAGTCCGTAAGCCAATCTTACAGAATGAATCTGTACAGGTCTTGTCTCCCTCATTGCATCCATTTATATCAGGATGTCAAAAGTGTGATCTCAAAATGAAAATGTGCCTTTCTGATGCATATGAAACTCTGAACAGTGACATAAGTTCACAGGCTTGGCTGGTTCTCTTGTAGTCAGTTCAAACCTTTCTATCTTGAACAATGTCGGTGCCTGGCAGCCATGGTAAGAACATCTGTGTTTTGTATCTGTGGCACTGATCAGATTGTTTCTGGCTGCTGGAAGCCCTCATGCAGTACACGGCCTTCGACAACGTGGCTCCCATGTTCAGCCAAGCCAAGCGCAACCCTCTGCCCCCAGCCACAGCATTGCCTACGAGGATGGAAGGTAAGTTGTTTTCATTTAATCCTGGTCTTTCAGACAGGACCCTGTGTAGGGATGAGTCCGTGTTCAGTGTGCTCCAGGAGGATGTTGTAATTACGGAAAGAAAGATTGTGTCAGCCGTTGTGTAAGATGAGTGCCCCTGGGCAATTTGAGTAACAGCAGGTACGGTGCCTCCGCCCTTCCAAGAAACCCTCTTGAGGACAGTGATTGCATGACAGGGTTCATTTATTTAGCATAGCGACGACGCCCCGTTAGTGTAGACGGACTGCGCGCACGCACAGGTTTGTGCGCCCTTGGCTCAGGATGCGCTAAGCTGGTGTGACCAGTTTCTGTTGGAATGCAAGGTCTTCAAGTCAAGTGTGTGCTGGGCGCCGTAAGTCGAAACGGTCCATACTAGCCTCTCTCTACTCTGCTGTCAAAGGAGTATTTCTAGAGAGAGGGGACAGGCAGTCTTCCACTGAACCTCAAACGCATCAAGGGGCCAATTTGTTGCCGATGGTTCTGGATCTCGATCACATACTGCGCATATTCTATGCACTTTTCAATTTAATGTATGTGTCTTGTGCTTTTGCTGTTTTTGTAATTCTGGTTCTTGAGTACAAAAAGACTGCAGAAGAAGATTAATGACTTACTGCACTCTGGACCTACATTCGATTGGCTTAACAGTGGGGAGAGTGTCTCCACACTCTTTACCATCTTGTAGTAGATTTTAATGAAAACATGGCATGGAAACATCAGTGCACTTCTCAGGTTCAGCCCAGACAAATGAATTTTCAATCACGGGTAGTATTATTGGCGGCTTTTTTTTTTCAGTGTGCCAGGTGTTTGAAAAAATATTGAGGTTTTTTTAACAGGCACACCAACATTTTTGAAATGCGCAAATTATCCAAATATATGCATGGCATTATTGGACATATGCTCACGAAGGCTTGGGGGAAACAATGCACATCAAGTGATATTGGCTGGGTTAGATAGATGGCATTGGGCCGGCCATGTACAGAAGGCTGGAAAAAGAAAACCAGGCATGTCTGTGTTCAGAGTCTAAGCCCAGCAAAGTTATCTAGGTCGGCAGAAATTGCTTCAATTCTTTTTCTAAATGTCTGTGTTTCCCGTCTCATGTGTTTTTGTTTGGTCATTACCAGTTATTTTAAATATACCAGTACATCTGGTAACCAGTGAAACAATTTTTTTCCTTTATTGACTGTAAAGTGTGGGTTGTTTTGAATTGATGACTAACATGGCAAAACGTTTGGGGAGGAGTTTGAGCTTAAAAAAGGTAGTTTGGGTTTACCGCACTTGGACACATTTTCTTTCTTTTGTATATCCAAAGTTGCCTGCCAGTTCGCCACCTGTGTGTTTTTGTCAGCTTTATTCACTCACAAGGTACAGGTTGGATGTAAAAAGTTGACATTCTTGTGAAATTCTCTCATACAGGTACATGTACCTGAATGAGAATCTAAACTACAAACTATTCTAACAGGATGTACGTGCATTTCTGTCACTGAATTTGTCACTTTGCGTGGTGAACCAAACCGGAAAATCGTCACGCAGCGTCCGGGTTCATTTTTACTTAGTGCAGAACAGCTGTCAGAACTTCATGTCGCTTTAATGTCAGAGTGGAGTGTGCTGTGCTCAGACCGTGTGAGGTGGCGCACGGCGCAGGCAATGATTTTTGCATGGAACACGGCTGTTCTACAAACACTTCCTGGGCAGGAGCCCGCCTCTGTATTCAGCAACTGCGCTTCCATTCTCTATTGGCAAATTCTTTGGGATGGATGGAGCCTGTTGACAGTCAACAGGCTTATCGTCCACAGGTGGAACAGCTTGGTAGGATTATCACTGTATAATGTATGAGGAAAAAGCAGAATTTCTTTATTATGCTGGTAATGTACACGCCACTTGATTGTGATTCTGCACACACACGTGCAGCTGCGCACATGTATATTGCAATTACATGCATGTCGCAAAAAATGAAAAGCAAAGTTAGGCGTCACCATAGCCAGAAAGCCCATTGCGTGATCTTCCATTTTGGTATGTGGCATGGCTCCATTTCATTCTGTTCCAGAGATATGACATATTTTCGTATAAGTTCATTCTGTGGAGTTTGAGAACTTGACAGAATAGAGAAAAACTGTGGAGTTTGAGAACTTGACAGAATAGAGAAAAAAAGGCTTTGAAAAAAGTTGAGTCTTGTACAGACTAGGCTGTTTTCAAATACTCGACTTCGGCTCCATCTTAGGCTTCAGCCGTTTTTTTACTTCCTGACTTTAAAGTTGTAAGCGTAAGAGTAAGTCTGATACAGTGTTGTAGTTAAGACCAGTCACAAGACCAGACACAAGACCAGTCACAAGACCAGACACAAGACCAGTCACAAGTAATGGGGTGAACAATGACAAAGGAATGCTTTTGTTGCAGTTCATTTAAACAGATTGTGGCTTGAATTCAGACTGGAGGTCTTGTGTTGGTCTTGTGAAGCGTCTTAAGTGGTCTTGACCACAACACTGGTCTGATAGTGCCACAAAACATCAAGTAAGATGCAAAAGAGCCAAACATTTACAGTACTTCAATTTAGTTTGCTTCAGGCCCACAATCGGGGATTGGTTTCGGAGACGAAGCCTGAGATAAAGACGAAGTTGAGATTTGGAAAACAGCCCCAGGCTTGGGAGACAGGCTTTTTAGTCTTCCTAGCAAGCAACATGTTCCCTGCAGACATTTTTGTTCATAAAAAGCCTGAAACTGTAGTAATCAAAGATGCCATTTCTTGACACAAACAAAACTGAGGTTCCATGAGGAATGTCACCCCTCAACTTCGGGGGGGGGGGGCACTGCAGGAAAAGGCATAGTGCAACATTACATCACCTTTTCCTGCAGCGTGCCTTGTATAGCACATGGATGAATATCCAGGAATATTTCATATTGTGTACCTACCGGTATACACACTGTGTCCAAAAAAATGTACTCATTTCATGAAGTACACACACACCTTGATCTTCCACACTGGACCCTTCCACAAACACTTGAAAAATACCACAGAAAAGTGGCGTACATATGTACCGTGAAATAATTAATGTCTTAAGTTTATATCATTAACACAACAGAGCTGCATGCACGTGTACATTGTATGCGTATTGGCAGCTGGGACATCACTTTACAAAAAAGAGGATAGTATACATGTACTGTACAAATGGCTTTTTTCCATTATACTCAATGTGTGTATTGCCATGTGTATATAGATATATACAAAAGGTCTACCGTACCATTTCATCCCCCATTAACAGCACCGTGTACCTGAACCGATTGACCTGTTACATGTTGCACCATTGCCCAGTGGAGATCTCTGTGACGGGTGCACGTAAAGGGGAAATTAAATTCATGCATATTTCTATGGCATGGCAAGGCAATGATAATGCTGCCAAAGCTGTAGGGTGCAGTGCTCATCCTGGAAGCGGGAGGATTGAAGGCGAACAGAAAAACTACAGTCAACTCAAACCGCTTCCACCGAATATACCCTGGAATCTGCCCATTTGCCATCTGCCCTGATATTGGATATGGTACATTACCTCTGTGCCCCCCCTCCCCCATTATTAGTTGGCAGCCCTGAAAGACTGAATGGGATGTAAGGGCTATGGATCTGGCTACACACAGGTACATGTGCAGTACTTGTAGTAGCTTTGCAAAAGTGCCCCTGAAGAAGTGAAATACAGAAAATTCCTACTACCTACATGTACATGTCCGTGTATGTGTATATATTCTCTTGCATTAGCAAATGGCAAGCGATCCAGGGAAGTACATGTACAGTGTACATGTTGTGTGCAAGTACATGTTCTAATACATGTACCACTAGCATAATCTGTACGTGTGCTTGCACTTTGTGAGCGGTTCCCTGCCTCCCCCCCCACACCCTCACTTGTTTCACATACGAAGTGTGGACATTCCTTTGTTCTCCTGTGGTTACGTAAATGCTCTATTTTCTCCCACTAGGATAACTTCTTACGAGCTGGATTTTCGATGAGGATTCCCTGGACGGTTCCTCTTCATTTTGCCATGGATAACCGTGACACCCAAATGCCTCTGAAACTGTTTTTCAGAGAAGGCAGAACATTGTGTGGATGTGTGCAAGTCCACACAATGCCATTGCACCCTGCATTATGTGGACCTCTTTTGTGCAGAGGTCCACACTATGTATGACACGCCTGTACACATGAAGCCGCGCTACTTGTTACTCGGGCCAAACCATCCCTTCTCGGGCTTACACAATGGTTATCCCCAAATGTTAATGGTATTGTCAGCATGATACAGTTTGAACTAATTGCCTCACTTTCCCTTCTATGCAGGATGTGCCAGCAGTCCTCTTGGGTGTACGTGGGCGTGTGTGCGTGGCCTGCCTCTATATCACGAGCATGTGATCATGTTCCAGGAATTGCTCCTCGTAGTTTTGCAAGCACTGTGCAAAAAAGAACAGCTGGTCCCTGACCAACGATATCCCTGAACACTTTGTTGGGGCACTGCATTAGCCAATACTAGGGGCAGTCCTGATAGCGTTAAGGCACAGGACTCAAAATGTCGTGAAGCCTGTAAAAAAACTTGGCTGATTTCTTGCAAATGTCATGTAGCATTTTGTTGGTGCTCTGCTTACGCTCTATCTGTGTACACGTGTACGTGCATACATAGACGGGCATGCTTGCTCTTATTTGCAGCATGGCCAACAAGAACTCACAGTCCCACTATTTGTCATTGAAATGAGAGTATGCACATGTACACGCTCAGGCACGTGTTCTTGTTTGTCTGGAATTGGCTATTCTTAGGAAGTCTTGCAGAAGATAATCTCCAAACTAAGCCATCAAATAATCTCATGCATTGCATGAGGATTTATATTTCGAAATAGGATTTCCAACTCTTTGGGGGATAGACTTTTTGGATTTCCTTCTTTTTTCGCCCGATATACCTTTGCATATGTATGTATTTTGTATGAGATGGAAATATTGGGTCCCATGTGAAATTCC